ACCATGTACATATTTTTTTAACCCAACTCACCCACGTCGCTTGACTCTTTTAGACTCATCGAACCCATCCCAATAACTCCTTCTCTGGCCCTCACTCTACTCAGGTTGGTCCCCATCCCGCCCCCTTGCTTGAATCCGTTGAATTTAATACCTCCAAAATACCTCATATTGATGATCAACACTCTATAGTCCCAGTCTCATGCCGCAGCTATCGCCGATCCGGCTGCAGCCTATCAATCCAGCACTAGCCAATCCTTCCAAAATGGTGCCCCGCAACCCCGCCTTGATTACTCGATTACTCAGTCTCACCCAGTCTGTCAACAAGCTCACTCCGAATACCAGCCTTATCAGCCGGCCTCTTCATGTTCATCACATTCCGATCAACATGCTAAACGATTCAAGCCCATTACTGGGTATTTTGATCGAATCCCTTCAACTCTGGCCGACTCACTATCACCTATTACTCAAAGGTCATCGGGTGATTTGACAACCAGCCCTTCGTCTCTGGCGTATTCACCCGCTTCTTCCACCAACGTCCACCACCATTCACCCGACCACCGATCTCCCTCCCTCATCTATCATTCAGGGGCTATGGCTTCAAGGCCCATACACTGCCGCGATGATCGCCCGGACAATCAGGCAGATTGGGTCCATCAACACGGCAGCGATTTCTCGGGGGATCACAGTAGCATGAATGCAGGTTACTCAAGCGTAAATGAACGACCATTGGAAGAGGAAATTGATTACTTTTCCCGAGTCTTATCACGAAGATCTAGCTGCCATCGCTCTCAAAAGCCATCGGCCAAGTCTTATGATGATTTAGTCCGACTTCCTCACCAAGTCTCTAATTCACATCCTCATCCCCATCAGCGTACCCATCGACACTCCTTCCAGCCATATTCACACCCCTCTAGTGCCACTGTCTCCCGCGCTGCCTCACCCGCAAGTACTCACTCAGAGTTAAGCGATGATGAGTATGCGCATCCGTCGTCTTGTCAGCACTCAGCGTCTTCTCGCCGTCCGTCAGGCTCTTCTAGTCATCCTTACAGCTCATACGGCCGTCCGTCAAGTTCTTCTCATGACGTCCCTTCTGCGCATATACGGCAAAATTCTCATCCATCCAACCATCCCAGCTCTTCCACTAGCTCAGTCTTAGAGCCCATGCAACATCTCAGCCTTGTGCATCCCCAACCGGCCATCGAGCAAGCTCAATTTTCAAATCCAGTATCTCCCTTACGTCGGATCTCTCAGCCAAAAAGTCCGATCGTCCTTCCATCACCAAAAAGTTCGATCGTCCTTCCATCATTGAGGCTATCTGCTCTCGCGATGGCCCTTCCTCCTCCAGACAACAGCAGTAATGCGGGTGATGATACAGAGTTGGATGATCGTCCATTGGAGAGGTCTCGTTCAACTCCTTCCCTATCAACAGCACCTGAACGCTGGGCGAATTACCAACGTCAGAAGCACCGGTCAAGAATTGAAGGGCAGGGCACTACCAGTAATCGAGAGCCACTGCCGACGTCGATCCAACGGAATTCCAGTTTCTCATCTGTCGGATCGTCTTCTTTTGAGCAAGTTGCCAATGCCAATCTACAGTCATCCAATGCGCCAAGTACTGCTCCCAGTAGTCTCATCGAGCCCGATTCAGTCTGTCATAGAGGTCGCTTGGAGCTGATTCTAAATGGGGATACTCCCGTTCATCAGACGAAGAAGCCCCCAGATCCCAGGAGGACATTACCACCGCTATCATCCTTAACCAAGTCTTGTGGTCCTATCATGACTTTTCCCGACGTCTCCTATTCCAAATCTCGGTCTGCCCCTCAATCACGAGTTAACAGTCCACCAAGCTCTCCAAGACTCGTAGCGCTTCCGCCTTTAGTAGGCGGACCCAACCTCGAACGATCTCGGTCGATGAACCAGCATTATAGAGGTACGTGGGATCAAGTCTCGGTTTCGAGTTGGGACAGCAATGGAAACAATACTGTCTTATCTGGCTCGACTCCCCCTGATGATCGAGGATTGATTTGTAAGCGGGGGAAGGGCTCGAGTAGTAAGCGCAGAGACTCTAGCACAAGTGCCCCACGAAGGAAGAATCAGTTCGGTCTTCAGATGACGCCCATCGAACATACCGCCCCTCATCCGACCACTACCATTGCCTCAAGTAGTCGTTCCTACCCTCACTCGCGAGCCTCTGGTCCTTCGGGCGTTTGCAGGAGTTCGAGCAATACTAGTGTCTTTGCTAGTCATCAGGATCACCAAGCACACTCACGTTCCAATAGTTTTTGTAGCCAAGAGTCGGCTCATTTGGCGTCCTCGAGCGACGTGATGGTGGAGGAAGACTCGCGGGGCGAGTCGGAAGAGGGGCCGTGGACGCAGGAGGACGAGGAGCAGCAGACCGTTGATATCAATGAAGACGGGATTCTGATCAGGCCGCGGAAAAGATCTACCAAACCTCTCCCGCACCTCTCATCTTCGCGCCACTATCCTCCACCCAACCGGCTCACCCGGCCCCTCGATGCTCATGAACCATGAACCCCTTTTCCTATCCAGCCCCCACTGGAGAATAGTCGGCCTCCTTGGGACTCGTTTCCCCCTCCCCTTCATCTTCCTATCGCCGTAGATCAACTTGCTCTTCCCTAACTCTGCTCTTCTCTTCGGTTCTGTTTTATTTTTGTCTTAGAGGAGCGCTTGTCCGTCAGTTGCTGAATACAAATATATATATTATATGTATGTTTACGGAACCCTCTCCTTAGATAAAATCCTACCTTTCCTTTTTCTTGATCTTATTAATAATAAAACATGACAAAAATTCATCAGAATGGACATTTTATCATTTCTTTACTTTTTTTTTTGGTGTGATCAATTTTTTTTTTCGGAGGTTGTGCCTCTTTTTTGGTGTTGTATATGTGTTGATCTGTGTATCTAAATAACAGCCATAACAACAAAAACAACAAAAACTAAACTGTAGCCATCACCAAAAAAAAAAAAAAAAAAAGAGGTTATTTTTAGTACAAAAAAATAATTGTATAAGAGTTGTGATCCTGTTTTCTGTTTTTCTTGTGCCACCAAAACCCACCAAGACTTATTAAGGGACATGAAAAAAAGAAAGAAAGAAAAAAAAGGTTTTGGATGTTGCAAGGATCAACATTGATGATGTATATAGTGTTGATTCTGGGGTGTACAACCTTCTCCTTATTGGAGAGTTATGCTTTTTATTACAACCATTTATATACTATGAACATTGATGTCTGTGAGATGTGACACAGTTGAGGAGGACTATGTAGATGTATAGGACATGTACCACAACACACCTTTGTTGCCATGGGTATTCTGTTATATGTGAGGAATATGGGGGGAAACGGAAGTTCAGTGGGAAGAGGCAAGAGAGATTATTGGTGATAGTGTCCAACCCCATCTAGTTACAAGAACAGGGTGCACAATCAGAACCCCCCTCTCCCTCAACACCAAAAAAACCTCAACACACCAGCCCAGTCTTACTGAATCTTCTCTGCTCGTGTCGGGACTCACCTCATTGAATGTCGGCTGCAATGTGTCTTGGGACACTTTGCTCCTTGCTGGGCTGTTTTCTTTTTCTTTCTTTCTTTTCTTTTCTTTTCTTTTCTTTTCTTTTTTTGATTCAGATTACTTCCCCTAAAGGAACTGTAGGTTCCATCAAGCTGTTTTCTGGCTAGTATTGGTAAGAATTGATCAGGTGAAATTCCTTTCCATATTGTGTCACACAGTTTTTTTTTTATTGGAGGTGTGAGTGGATTAGCATCACTCAGATTAAGGAATCTCAGGCCATGCTATGTTAGTGAGGCATAATATTCCAGAGTTTGTCATATTTCATTCAAGGAGGGTGTTTGGAAAACCTTCACTAATGCCAATGTGTTCTGCCAAGTTCCCTCGGGTTTCAATGGCTATTATGACAGGTGTCATAATGTGCAAAGTGCTTGAATCATTCGTCATATGAGGCTCACAAATTCAGGCTCACATTTTATCCATAAAAAACTTAAACTATATCTTCCAAGAATACTAGCTAGAATGATATTCCATCTATCATAAATGATGTGTGACATCCCTACACAGCCTACATCATATCACTGAAACTGAATTGTTGTGGCAGATTGCAATGTCCAATACAGCATCCTTGAGCCAAAGATTTCCATCAAAATTGAGGATCTTATGTAATGTTCAGCTATGCTTACATTGCATAGATTGATGAAATATCAGCTTTGAAAGATGAGTTGATATTTTTATGCTCACAGTTTTTTTGCATTATGATTTTTTTTTCTTCTTTGGTCAAGTGGGAAATTAAGTGCAGAAAAGTGTTTATTGAATTTATTGGAGCCAGATTTTACCACACTCTAGTTACGTACATAGTTGATGAATCAAAGCTTTACCAGAAAATTTCCCACTGGTGATTGAACAGCATCAAAACAAAACCAATCAACATTTTAAACTTAAAGATTGAATCTGAGCTCCCTTCAACACATGAAACTCCTCTCAGGATATTCACTCCACAAATCTCAACTTGAGCTTTCCTGTGGCATCTAGTATTGAATAAGGTGCCTCAATTCTTGGATTTTTTTTGGGAGCAATCAGCATCATATAATATTGCCAGTTTTATAAAACCTCTCTCAAAATTAACTTTGTTTTATTATCTTCTCTGATTTCTTTCATGTAATGAAATATAAGATTCCTGATAATTTTTTTCTGATACAATCAGTTATCAAGAAAGCCCTCCTCTAAACAAAGCAAGTGTTAGTATGTTACTTGACATCCAATGTGCTCCCTGATTTTATCAACTGGGAGAATATAATTCTAGATTCTGGATTCATCATCATCCTGATGTAAGTTGAGGTTTAGAATAGACTTTTAAATTTCTAAAAATCTAATTCATTAAAATTCTCACTTAATCATTTCAGGCATTCCCTTTTAAGCCCTTGTTCAACTGCAAAGGTATTGGTAGGTCTTTTTTGCCTCGCTCTTCATCCACAGCCTGTTTAGCATAGTCGTTATTGCGCGGCACTTGTATCCTTTCCACGGGATGCCGAGGTCGCTGGTTCAAATCCGGCAATGGGCTGCGTCTTTTTTTTTACGGCCCAGCTGTACTGTACTGTTTCCCAAGCTCGCTCTTCCTGATCGTCCGGACTCGGGAGTTCAGCTGATGTGCGTTGCTGTGGTAGTTTGCTGTGTTGCGTCGACATGCACTCCGCTGCAAACCTCGATCGCTGTGGTTACGTCAGTCACCCCTGTCGTCATTCCCTCTCGCTCAGCGCATACATTCTTCAGTCAGCCCGCGTGAAAGCATTTCAGTTTTTTTTTTGGTCAAGATGGAAAAACAATTCCTCAAGGACTACAGCAACAGCCAACTCATCATGAACATCAACGGAACAGCAAACAAGACTCGCACAACGATATCATCGCTCTCCGCAGAGAAACATGACTCCAGCAACAACTTATTCAACGAAACGGCGTCCTCAGAGCCTTTCAACGTGGACCCAGATCTAGTCAGAGTGCTGAATAAGAACCAAGAGATCATCAAGAAATCGCAGCCCAGATTCACATTCGATGGGAAGGGGGAGGATGGGAAACTGGAGAGCAGCTCGCTGATCGACATCATCGGCCGAACCCGTCTGGAAAGACTAGGTAGATTTCCAGAGTCGGAGAGGCTGTACTTCAATGAATTCAGTCGCATCATCAAGCTCAAATACTCCTCCTCTTGTCTCTACCTCAAGCAAAGATTAAACTTCCCCACCCTCAACACCGACCCTCAGCCCGCATACTTCGTCGCGTCTGAGTCGCTCAAGGATGGCCTGGATTACCGGGTGGTTAGGAACGAATGGCCCTATGCAATTCCTCGAGATTATCAGTCTGAGTCCCTCTCTCCTTCTGTGGTTGTTATCTAGAAAATTGCCCGCTGACCCGCTTCCACAAAAAAAAAAAAAGACACATCGTCGTTTGGAGCAGACTCCCGTTGCTCGATCCCAGCCAAGCGCGCACGCCGGAAGAGTTGGAGCAGGCGCGTCAAGAGGGCCTGTCGGGCTTCGAGAACCTGACGATGGAACTGGTCGAGCAGCTAGACCGCGCGGGCCTTAATCCCAACCAACGCTTCAAGTCCTTCTTCCACCACCACCAAGACCTCCAACCCCCCGACCCCCCCTTCCAGCCCACCTTGGACGCCCACATTCGCGCCTTCGTCAGAACCCGTTGGCCCCCCTCTCAAGGCTTCTTCAACCTCATCTGGTTCCTTAATCCCATTCATCTTCAGTCCTGTCCTCTACTCCCTCACTTCCATGTCTTTGTTAAAAAATTCTAATTTTCTTTCAATGTTTTTTTTTTTTTTTTTTTTTTTTTGGGGGGGGGACTGTCATCAATTTTCATCATGGGAATTGAAAAGATTTAGAAGGTTCAGATTATAAGGTATCTTAGGAGACGGGAAGAGTCCCCCCATTGTATATTAGGAAGTCATCAATTTTGTAAAAACCTTCAGCAATTCATGTCATTCAATAGCCTCCATATCTTGAGATTTTTTGGGGAGAAAAGCCTATCCATCTTCCCATACAATATAAGTCAACATCACTCAACAAAGCAAAGTCATTAATTGTGAAAGATAGCAGAGTTCAAATATACATTCCATACCATGTAAGCATGATGCAGGTACTCACTTTGGTCTATTCCCTGGGCTAATATATTTGACTCAGCTTCAAGGAGACAGAAACTTACTTAATCAACCAACATCTAACTTTCCTTTTTTTTTCATACCCTTTGAGTTCCAAACAAGGTGCCCAACAGGTTTGGATTGGAAGTCTTGGATGAAACCTGAGCCCCCATGAACTGTCACACCACACATGCTTCAGTTAAGGGGAGCCAAATCCCAAAGCTGTTCCTGGCAGATGCCCTCCCTCCCCCC